CGCGCTACGGCTTCGGTTCGCCGCTCTTTCCGCGAGATAACTATCTGCGGCAACTCGAGAACCCAGCGATCTCTCGCCTTGGCTACTCGTGTCCGCCTATGGGAAGACAATTCCCCCTTTTGCGGCAGTAATCCTCAAGTTCTCCGACGCTTCGCGAATGCAAAGCGTCGTGAGCCGATATGCTGCGCTCCGGCGCACCGCCTTATCTCAGGTGCGCATCGGCGCAGCCATAGAAATTATCGAACCCGGACTTTTGTTGCCGGTCAACAACCGCACCTCACGCCAGTCGCTTAGAACGGTTTTGGAGGCGAAGACAAAGACGGCGGCAAAGGTAGCTCCTTTGCCTCTCCGTCACTAACCGATGCCCGAGGTAACTGCGAAACGCAGAAGGCAACCTCGGTGTCGTAAGGGACTGCCTACCCTATGCCCGAAAACGGGGTGGCAGACCTCAACACTTGGTCCACCTCCATGGCCCTCACAGCTTCCGATGTGTGTGCCAACGCTGTCGTTACCCCCGAAAATTCCTGGGTCTCAGTAGCCTGAGGAATGCGGCCCGATTCTCCAAGTTCGTCAGCCATCATCACCCGGTGTCAATGAACCTCTTAAACCTTTAAAATAAAACAAGTTAGTTATTACACCTGTTCTGTCTCGTGAACCTATTTATTTACCTTACGTGGCGGTAGGTAACGCTTGATTTCTGAAACATGCACTCGAGTAGTACAATATTTACTGTTTGTTGCTAGCTCGTATATCTCTGGCGAAATCACTGAAATAATTTTAAACAGTCCGTCGTATTTTGAATCGAGTTTCGCGTTTTTACCTGCCGCAGCGTTCGAAAGCGTGTGCACTTTGCGCCAAAATAAATCGCCTACCTGGAAAAGCACTTTACCCTTATCGTAGTACTTTTTTTGCTTTTCCTGCGCTTCGTCGATATATCTAGTTACTAAGTCATGTAACGCATTTAAACGCAATAACCTATCTTCCCATGCTTTCATATCTAACTTCACAATTGTTGCTTTTACCTTAATCTCGCGCTTTAAACTCTTTACCGGGCGAGAATCCCTACCAAAGTTTAAAAACGCCGGCGAAACCTTTATAGACGCCTTAGTCGCAGTATTTATAGCATGACGAAATTCATGCAAATACCTATCCCATCTCCTGTAATCGGCATCTACAAACATCGCTATCACCGTTTTCAAAGTACGATTAACACGCTCTACCGGGTCACTCTGCTGGCGATACACCGGGTAAAGCAAGTGTCCAATACCGTACTCTCGCAACCTGGCGTGCTACTCCACTGACTATTCGATGGCCTAATTATTTTCGTCCTTCATAGCCGCATAGTTTCTTCCTGCGTGAAAGCTAATATAGGGGGCGACATTTGGCTCATCGGGGTCTTTATCGGGCACGCATCATCTATATCGATGATGTGCTCGATAACTCGGCAATTCATTTTGCCTTGCTGGGCACTTCCTGGGTGAGCTAACCACCACACGAAAATTACCTGGATCAATCGCTTCCCGCGCCTTGTCGTTTGGTAAATAATCGTGCGATGTGGAGTTTCGATATTTTGAGCTGAATTCTGTACTTCCTTGTACCGTATCGCGAATATTTGTCTGTTCGGACCTATTATTAGCCTTACTATAGAAATGTACAATTACGTACCCTGCGCCCGAATTCTCTCTATTTTCAAAGTAGAAAGCTCACCCTCGAACACACGTTGTACATTACCCAATCCTACATACTCTACACTACTTTCTTCCGAATCCTCGTACTCTATAATAATCACACGCTTGACTTTAAGATTCTCGTTCCTATCTAACAAAAGAGGCGCTGAACTGGCAGTTTTTGTCTTGTTCTCGCCTTTCTTTTTTACTTCGGCTTTATTTTCTTCTTCCACGGTGCCTTTGCTTCTTGCGCAAAACACTCTCTCTACCTCAATGGCCCGCTCGATCCATTTTCGGCAGTAGTCGTCGAGCGGTCGATGGCTCCTGCAAGGATGTTTCCCTGCTTAACCTGATTGCAAGTAGGGCAATTCCTAGAAACAAACCCGACGGTCCCGTACACTTGGCAAACTGATGTACGCTCGGTAGATCTAGTTGGGCAATTATTGGCATAATGCCCTTGTTGCCGACACTTGTAACAAACGATAAGTGGGTTGACTCGAGCTATCGGGCATTGCGCCCTCCTATGACCTATCGCGTTGCAATTGAAACAGGCCCCCGTAAATGGCCTATTTAAATTGCTTCTGAATTCGTCACCTTTTTGATCGCGTTGCTACGGAATCAAGCTAGTGTTGTAGCCGAGGCTATCAAAGCCTGCGTGGTCTGCTGAGCAAGCGCGGCTTCTTTCACAGGTTGGTTTGTCGCCTGCGGCTGCTGCCTGCCGACTGCAGCCACGGCAACTTCACCTCTCTGATTTTCACCTTGCTTTCATCTTTGGCTGCGCTTTCTTTTTCGATGTCTCAATCACTAAAATTTCGTCTACCGTATCACTAAGGCCCTCAACAACCTCTACTGATTTCTATTTACCTTGAGACTTTTTCATCTCGGTGTACGCAGATTCCGGTATTAACGTCGCGCCGGCCGTCGGCGGCTGTTGCCACCTTTCCCAACCCGCCACACAGTGCTCAAAATTAGACAAAAATCGCTGCAGGTCGTAATTTTTATCCAATTTCAATCTTTCGGGTCTCAAACAAAAGTTATTCCTTTTTGGAATAATGTAAGTCTGCCACGGTAATGAAATATAATTCCTGACTAAGTCAAAACATGTTTATGTACATTGAAAAAAAATATCCAAACTAGTCCGATATTTACTCGAACTAAATTTTCTCCACAGATCTTCTTGAAGTAACTTTAAACCAGCAATACAATAGTAAACTTGACTTTAACTTTCACAATGATCTTCAAAGTCATTTCACGGTCAGACATTGTTTTTAAGTAAAAATCTCATTTTTGACATCGAAAAAATATTAAGCGATAAATCTTATGTTTAAATCTGTATTGAGCTCATATTTCGATTATTTAGTTCTTTATAGTGTCATTTAAACCTAAATAAGTTCCAAATATCTTTTCAAGACAAGATATTTTATTATTTATGAGAAAATTTAGTTCGAGTAAATATCGGACTAGTTTGGGTATTTTTTTTAATCTACATAACTATAAGTTTTGACTTAGTCAGGAATTATACGAGTATATCATTACCGTGGCAGCCCTACATTATTCCAAAAAGGAATAATTTTTGTTTGAGATCCGAAAGACTTAAATCGGATAAAAATTACGATCTGCAGCGATTTTTGTCTAATTTTGAGCACTGTGTGCCATACGATCTTCTAATGCCATTCTTGACTCTTTAAACCCGTTTAAATCTTTAAACGTTTTTGTCTCGAAGTACTGCTTGTATCTCGGATGCAGACCTTCCACGAGAATAGCTAACTGACGTTTAACCGAGACCGGCGGATCGAAACGGCGTAGAATCGTTTAACAGGCTGCGACATAATCAGTTATTTTCTCATCTTCGCCTTGCGTTCTCTGCCTAAGCTCACCGTAAAGCTATTCCCTATTCAATCGGCGACAGAATTTGTCAGAAAAACTCTTTTTAAAGTCCTTCAGCGTCTTCCAATTGCCGCGATTGACCTCGTACCATGAACGCGCTTTGTCGCGGAGTGCCGTGCCTATCGTGATCAACATCTCTTCGTCGGGGATGCCGAAGTAGCGCTGACAGCTACTTAAACCCGAAAGGAAACTCAACGCGATCATACTGTCTTTACCTCAAAAGTGGAGAGACCAAGCATTGTGTGCGTTTATCCCGTCCGCAGGTATACCGTTGATGTACTATATTCGAGGTCCGCTGCTCTTTCTGCTCGAGCTCTCTACCTTTTTCTCTAACGATTTCTCAGTTCACGTAACGTAACTATCGGTATCCGACGGGCACGTGCTCGTATCGCTTACCCTGAAAGTTTCTACTTTTTCTGCTTTCTTTTGCCTAGGCCGCTTCATACTAATCACACTTTTCTTATCCCTGATCGAGTCTTTCCTCAACGAAGTCAGTGCTCGCGTTTCATTCCTAGTGGCTACCTGTACCTAGCGCTCCCAGTCTTTGACCCAAGAGTTGACCCTTGGCACTCGGTACCTTGTGCTCACTGACCTGATAGAATCAGCGTTGATACACATACTATCTGCCCTACTCATCGGTGCGCTTGCATACGCCGCTTGCTTAGCCACAGCCGCAGGCATGTTTAGCGCCGCGCGGTCGCCGGACAGTTTGGCCTGGGGCGGTAATGAAGTCTGCTGCTCGGCCTGAACCGCCCTACTGTGCATCGCTTCTTTTTCCACTCTAAAAACCACATTCGCCCATCCGTGATTCCCTATCTGATTTCTCGCCTATAATATATCCAACGAAGCACGGCTGTAGAGGCCCCCAGGTTTGGCTTAACGCACTTGTGCTACGCTCACCTTGATCTCGCGCGTCCTGCTCGTGCGCGTATCCATCTACGTTAGCTGACATCAAACGAACCGGCGACAGCAACACATTTTCATCGTGTGTAATCATGCTTCTGTCCGGTGATTGGGTTTGCTCGCGAGGAACGGCCGCGCAGGTTACTAGTGCCACCTGTTTTTGCTGTCGCTGCAATCCAGCCGCCGAGGGCGCAGCAGCCATCGCAAGTTCGTCACCGAAATCTTCGCTTCGCGCATCGACCGTTGCTACTTCCCGCTGTTCATCGCACAGCAAATCGGGGATTCGGCCCGACGTAAAATCACCTGAATTCAGCGCGATCACAAATCTGGTCGCTCCTTAGTTAATAAGTATCGCGTAGCACTTCCAACTCGTCGCGCAAGGTTAGTCCGCGGAAGCTTCAGCGACACGATTGCGTTTGGAAAAAGAATTATTCCATGCGCGAACTATAACACGTACCTTGACCGCGAGCTGCGTAACCCGACACTTGAAGAAAATTCCGGCATCTCAAAACCAAAACAAAACAAGGAATTCTAAGCGGTACTATGTCCGCATCTGGCTTCAAAGTGACTCATCGGCGCACATGCTGTTATCCGATTCCTCGATAAGAAAAGATCATAAGGAAACCCGAACTTTCCAGAAACAACTAAATTCCTTCGCGAAACAAGCGTAACGAGCACGCATTTATTTATTTATTTTTTTTCACCGTTGGTTTACAATTAATATACTATAATTTATTAATTTAACCGGCATTCACCTTTATTTTGTTTAAGGTCGCTCTATTTATGCTCATGAAAGCAAAGAACATGACACTTTTTTTTCAGTGATGCTTGTATCAATTAGCAGAGACTAGGAATCAAATCCGGACCTACCGAGTGCGAGTCCGTCGCCCTATCGAACGAGCCATTTCAAGCCACTAAACATAAACATGATTTGATATACGAGGTCTGTCCGGTAAGTATCTGGCCTACCGTTATATTTTCGTGCTAGCGTTATTCTTTATCATCTGGTGGGTGGCATCCTTGAAAGTAATCCCCACTTGCTTAAATAACACGGTTCCATCGATGTTTCCACTTTTCAAAACAGTCCTGGAACTCACTTTTAGGAATAGCCTTAAGTACACTCGTCGCATTGTTTTCAACCGTTGTTTTGTCATCGAATCGGTGTCCTTTGAGTGATTTTTTTAGTTTTGGAAACAGCCAAATGTCACAAGGGGCTATGTCAGGACTGTATGGAGGTTGTCGAAGCAATGCGATATTGTGTTTGCTCAAAAACTGCTGCACAAGATTGGATGAATGCGCTGGCGCATTATCGTGATGGAGGAGCCAGTCACCACTTTCCCAAAAGTGCGACCGTTTTCTTCTTACTGCATCACGCAAACGTTTCAAAATTTGAACGTAGTATTCTTCATTGATTGAATGATCTGTTGGTGCATATTCGTGACGTACAACACCTTCACAATCGAAAAAAACAATCAACATTGACTTAACATTGCTCCGACTTTGACGTGCTTTTTTTGATCTTGGCGATTCAGAATGCTTCTACTGCGAAAATTGTTGTTTTATTTCAAGATCATAACCATAAACCTATGATTCATCACCTATAATAACTTTTCTAAGCACATTATCATCATTATTGACCATTTCCAGATTGTCCAGAGCGATTTCTAAGCGAATGTTCTTCTGCTCTGCTGTGAGCAACTTTGAGCACACACGCGTTTCATTCCTCAATTTTCGGTTAAAATTTCTGAAATGATAGTTTTTGGTATCTCAAGGTCTTCTTCTAGTTCTCGCACAGTCATACGATGATTTTGTTCGATAGCAAGTCACACCCGCTCAATATTATCTGCGGTTATTGTCGTCAAAGGTCGGTCGGAACGAGAATCACTATCGACAGAAGTGCGACCATCCTTGAACCGTTTATACCACTCTTTTAATCGTGTTTTGCTCATACACTCGCTTCCGAAGGCCTTTTGCATCATTTCAATAGTTTCCGAACTTGTTTTTCCGAGTTGAAATCAAATTTGATGCAAATTCGTTAATCTTGTTTTTCAGTCATTTTTGACAATATCAAAATTCGACGAACGCGAAAAAGGCACTTTAAACAAAGACACGCTGCCCATGAACTATACGTCCGGCAGGTGTCAGTAAGTAACCAATAGATTCTTGAGGCTTTACTGTTGACGTTTCTGTCCGGTAGAGGTCGCTTGAACACTATGGCGCAAAGATATAAACGTAGGCCCGATACTTTCCGGATAGACCTCGTATAACTTTCACTAAGCTGGATGTGTGGAGATAAAAGAAGAAAAATAATTGTCTATAAGTAAACGTATTATTCCATTTTGAGATATTTGCCTCTAATAATATATTAAGTTTAAGAATTTGAATTTCTATATTATGTTCTAAGGATTTGAATTTTTCAATAATCTTTTCAACCATTTATTATTCAATTATTTTCAACGTTTCAATAATATAATTAATAATCCTTATGAAGGCTGTAAAAATACAAATAATTAAAAAATATAATAATCATTGAGAGGTAGAATACCTAACAATTCTTCACTGGAGAAATCAAAAACCACAAATTTGTCAATTTAAAAATCATATTGTGCACGATCGTTAAAGATTTTTCATATAAGAAGAGAAAGAATATATTCGGATTATTACGCTCTCCTGTGTAGACAAACAAAAAGTTACAGTTTCATTCCCGAGGGTATTTATGCTAAGAGGATAAACGATGAAAAATGAATGAAGAAGGGGTAAAGTTTTCAAAAAGGCTAATAAGCAGGTTATAGATAGGAATAAATCCGTTACATCAAGCTTGGTTTCTTATGTACATTATAGCGTTTAGATGGTAAGATCTTTTTGTTAGTTTTGTTTATGTCATCGACAGATTCTTCATATGTACTTTTCAGTTTTATGGTATCCAATTGTTTGTTTACTTTGACTATCGTATTGTAAATATATATCATTTCAGAAAACAATCGCTTATTTTTACTTTGTTCAATATTAACAATTTTATCACCATCAAACCAAATATCATGTTTACATGTATTCGCATGTTCAACGAATGCTGATGTACCATCTTTCTTAATAATATTCCGTTTATGATGATTAATGCGTACTTACGAGTAGAATTTGCGGCTTGTTTATCTATAGCTTATTTTTATAACTAATAATCAATCATCTGTGTAGCTTTCGTAAAATACATTATTACTTTTTTAAATTTTCAAACAATGCAATTCTAAATATTTTAAGACCAACTCACCAAACCATGGACTAGAACAATCTCCCAACAAACTCCCGAAACCTGTTTATAATATAAAATTACTAATTATTTGTGATCAATCAAAAACATTTTCCTTCTTTTCAAACTATGTAACTTATTAAGAAATTGAATTAAATATTTTATTTCTAGTTGGCAATTCGAGCTTTTTTTTTGGGATACAGCTTCAGCTTAGGAATAGTAAATTATAATACAGCTTTACCAAAATGGAAAGGATTTGGTATCTATACTGTTATCTTATCTACATTTCATGTCACTGAGTTCTTGGCAGTTACAATGACAAACCCAATGTCATCATCTTCTGATTCATTTGTTATAAACCACAGTATTGCATATACAGTAGCTGCTGGAATAAGTTGGATAGAGTATTTTATGGAAGGATATTATTTTCCGAAAACTAAAGAAAACTTGATTTTCTTAATAATTGGCGTCACTCTTTGCGCTGCTGGTGAATTATTCAGAAAAATTGCAATTTATACAGCAGAGAAAAACTTTAATCATATGATTCAAGATAAGAAAATTGATGGTCATGTTTTGATAACTCATGGAATATACAGTATTTGTAGGCATCCAAGTTATGTTGGGTGGTTTTACTGGTCTATAGGTACACAGGTAATAATATACAAACTATTTTCTTCCATCTAATTATTTAATTAGATATAATTTAATAAGGAATAAATAATTATTTATTAAATTATAATAAATACTGATCTTGTTTTTATAAATGAGCTCTTTGGTTCTTTAAGGTTATAAAGTAAATGTAAGATGAATAAACGAATTATTAACTAATCCAACATCACTGCATAAGATTCAGAGAAAATTCCGAATAATTAAGCTATTGATTAATATCGTTAACGTAGAGGTATATGTTGTTATTGTTATTATTGTTATTGTTACTTCAAAAAATACATTTCCTTTCAATGTTACAGAGTTATACTAGATATCTCTTACCCGCCAGTTATTGTTTCTTATAGTTATGAGAAGCATGTAATCAACCTCTCCATCACTTTTCGAAAAAACATGAGAGAAGAATTTTTATTGTATTACAATTAACAAGAAAACTCCTCTACCCGATTTCATCTATTGCAATAATCTATTAGTATACTTCGCAACAAAATTAACGCAACACTTAATTCCGATTTAAAAAAGGCGCAAATTTGATATCTCCGGTAAAAAATACCGTAATGGAGTTAATTTATTTTAAATTAAAGAGTAAAGTTTCTACTTTAAGATGGTGGAACTCGATTTTTATTTGACTCAACCTGTACTTACGTGACCTTGAAATTCAAGGTAATTTTCTATAGCTCAAAAATCGTAAACTTTCGCAGTGCACTCGCGCGTGGGTGATTTTTTTATAATTCTGATCATTGCATCTTAAAATACCGCTCTTTTTCTTTAATTAAAAAAAAATTAACCTGGTACGATTTTTTTGACGATTTTGGAGCATTTTAAAGATTGTATTTAAAAAGCTCGTTTTTTGTAAAATATTTGATAATTTCGATCCATCTTACGATTGAATCAACAGTGTAGAATGACTCGACTTCGTAGATCGATATCTCATGTTCCAAATGCCATATGCACGGGTTTGAATGTTATTTTTTGGTTAATTCTGAACAAATCAAAATGAAAAACTCGTATTCTATCGAAATAAGTAAGTCTTGCGGAATGGGATGGTGCATTGTTTTGCATGAAAATGAAATTTTGACCTATTGCTGCGACTCATTGGAAGCACGTGAGGCTCCAAAATTTCATCGATGTAGCGTCTAGATGTTAATCCGGGAGGTGAAATCGTAATAAGATTAGTGCGATCACTTTAAGGGATTCTTCCCCATACTATGATGGATCCACCGGAAAAATCCTGGTCGGTTCAATATGGTTTGTCTCAAAACGGTCCGTCTTACAACGCCAAATTCGTATTCGAGCATTATTACCATAAAGACAAAACTGTGTCTTGTCTGTGAACAAAATGTTTCTCGACTGTCTCACCGTGCATTGTCCATAATTTCTAGCATAGTGCAAACGAGATCTATGATATGTTGCTGTGAGAAAGAGAACTCTAGTACGACTTTGCGATTTTAAGCTTGCTTCATGAAGACGTTTCCGTATTGTTGGCAAACTGATTTGCCTGTGTGGCAAGGCTTCGTTATAAATTTGTTGCGCATTTCTTACTGGTTTATGTAAGGTTACTTGTATTATACGACGATTCTCATGAGCATTTGTTACGCGTCTCCTACCTTGCCCGGTCCTTCTGTGATAAGTTCCTGTTTCATTGAATTGAGACAGAACTCGAGAAACAGTCAAAAAATAAATTCTCATTCGTCTTGCTACCTCACGTCGACTAATTCCAGCTTCTGAGAGTGCAACAATTTACGCGGATTGAATTTTATTCAACAGAGACATTAATATTTTGCTAAAAAATCGATTTGAACAGTTTTAAAATACTACCGTAAAAATTTTACGATTTTGCCAAACGGCAAAAGATTAAAAAATGGTAGATTTGTAAAAGAACCGTATTCGTTAAAATTTGGACACGGTGAGAGATGGAATTGAAATTTTTGTTTTACATTACTGATTTCAGGAAACAATATGCAACGGATGACAAATTTGATAAAGGGTCTAGTCGGGTAAGATGGTCAAAATGCCCTTTGAGCCGTTCGGAAAAGTACATAGGTCAAAAGTATATTATGTTTGGTATGTATAGAGATTCATTTTCTCAGATTTTCAGACCCCTAGACCCACTCACTGCGTGGGGGGTCCTATTTTGTGTTTTTCGGTTTTTCGACGATATCTCGATCAATTTTTTAGCTAGAAAAAAATTTTTTTGGTTTGATGGGGTTTTTGAGACCCCATCAAACCGTCCAAACGAAAAAATTTTTGACGCCAAATTCAAATTTGTATAACGTTCTAAAAATTTCAAAAATTTTTTTTTCGAAAATGAAGATATACTTCACCCTGGAAAAAATATATATTGTGTAGTTATCCTCTAGAAATACGCCTATATTTTTTTTAAATTTTTAAAATATGTAGAACACCCCTAAAAAAATTAAATTCCATGAAAACATGGTTTTTTGCTTCTAGCGCCGTACATTTAAGTTATACGTTAAAATAGTTAGCGCCATCAGATTCTACGTCAAAAAATACATCGGAAATATGTATCACACATATGTCATTAGCACTATTACATCATAAGAAATGAATGGAGTTCCGTCGCATGGAAACTAAGCCAGGAGAGGGCGCCACGTAATTAGAAAAAATTAACGTGATTAGGATACTTATTGGCTTAACTATACCTAACAGAAACTATAGCTTTAGTGCATGTAGGTATATATTCACTTGTTAATTTATTCTAATTAATTGGCGCCCTCTCGTGGCTTGGTCTCCTTGCGACGAAATCCGCAATCCGGAACTGCATTCCCGAAGGGCCGAAGTTAGACGATTCAGGCGTTCCCCTTATTTGAACTACTGAACGGACGCTTGCTAATCAAAAATACTCTCTTAGATTCTAGACAAAAGTATTAGTAAATATTAATTGCTAAATATTCAGAATTTTATTAATATATGCACACCAACAGTCGAATTAGAAATTGCATTGATCTTCAAAAGTGGGATAGTTAAGAAATGTTGGTAGTATATGTTACGTAAATATTTATATTTATTTCAATCTACAATAATATGAGTCCAATCCTGTGTAAATAATGTGATGTGCTAATCTTATGAAAAGACTTGTGACGGTAAACGTCATATTAGCGCTAATAGCCTAAACTAGTGGCTGCCCACAGAGGCAGCACCTACCGGGAGATGGAAAACGTAATGAGGGAATACGGCACGCGACGAGGCGGAACGCGCGCGATTGAAAATGAACCAGTATGGGACTAGCTACCGATACGGAGAGCCGCAAGTGAAGGATCGGCCATCGACACGCCTAGCCAAAAGTGCACAATCAGCTACCGATATACGAGCCCAAAGTGGAGAGCTAACCGCCGATACGGAGAGCTGCGAGTGAGGGATTAGCCATCGTCACGCTTGGCCAAAAGTGCAGGACTATCTACCGATACGGAGAGCCGCATATCACAATAACTACCGATCGCAAAGCCGTGCCGCATAACCTTCTGACGTTGTTCCGAGTGTTCCTGGGAGCGTGAAGACAGATCGGCTACGAGGACCGAGGGGAGATAGTTGACGGAACCGAGTGTGTACGAGTGTGTGCGTGAGTGGTGAGTTTCACCATCGAGGGCGAAACTGCGAGCGAGAGACACCGCAACCGACAATCGGACAGTGTACAAAGACACACGAGATCCCCCTTCCCCCTTTGCAATCCGTGCAAGAGCTGAAATAAAAAGGTAAGCTGGCCAGCTTAATTTCGCGACCGTGATATAATTGCTAAACAATAATCCCTTGACTCGATGAAAAACGTGCATGCAATATCTTGGCTAACAAAGAGCGGCGAGCGTTCCGGCACTGTTGTATGTTGTCGTCGTGCGAGTATGTAAACATAAACACACGGGCCGAATGTAATGTAACATTTCAGGAGTAATAAAGAGTTTTCGTCTGTGATATTAACCAGTACTTTCGACGTGTTTATTTCGTATCAGTAGTTAGTTGGTTGACTGACACCTGTTCCCTCTTGCTCTCCGACTCCCGTATTAAACATAGGTAATTACGTGCGTTTTTCAATACGATTACGCGGATAAAATTAATTAAACGGTACCCACCCCGTTACAGACTTTATTGATGGGAATTAACAATACCTCAAATACATTGTTCTATGTTGATATACTTATTGTTGTCACTCAGTGGTACAGCCAAATTTTTTGAGCGTGTGCTAGACATTTCAAAAGGTAAGCTGTGAAACATTTTAAGCATGCATTAGGTATACTCGTATTTCTAGCAATATATACTAATTTTATTTCATGAAAATGTTACAGTAAATTATGGTATGAAAATTAAAAGTATTTTTCAAAACAAATTCTTCAGTAATGTAATAATTCTTACAAAGTCGAATGCAAGGTTTACTATACTGATCAGTAGATAATAAGAATTTTACGCTAGAATTTAATCAGCGATTATTGCTTAGTAGTAAAACTATTATGTAGAGCTGTTTACTGGAATACAAATTTTCAAGACATTCTGTACAAGGTAAATTAATTTAATTACTCTTCTAAGATAATATTTTTATGATAAATGAAAATTAAAAAAAAAAATTTTTTTCATTTGTTTTTTATAAATAAAAAATTCTTAAGATCAAAGTGAAAGAATCTAGGTAATATTGAATTTTTGATGATCTTGATTATAAATGTAATTTTTTATAAAAGACGAGTATTTTAGCATTCATTTAAGATTTCAATTCGTTATTTAACACGTTTTGTTTACGATTCTAAATTTTTTATAAACTTATTATATTATAATTTTTCAAGATGTTTTGAACATTTAGAAATTATTACATAATGAAATAAAAAGCAGGAAAAAAATTGACGAATCAAATGTATTATAAATAATTATTTGTCAATATTATCAGAAAATAAATAAAAAACAATAATATTTATTAGAATAACATGCTCAACTCAGTTTTCGAAGTGACGCTTTTTTTCGAATATTTGTAAAATTCACCTCTG